GATGTTTCCGGTATAAAAGTTAACTTACGGGTTAACTGTGTTTCTATATTTGAACTGGATTTGTAAACTGACATGATGTGAGTTATATTTTACAACTATGTATAAAATTATTGTATTTCTTTTAACATAAATTAGTACTAAATCTTTATATATAACTTATAAATTAGTATATTTTAATATATAATTACTTAATTTTCATAAATTAAAATGTGTTATGTTAAACTCTAGGAATTTTTATTCATAATGCTAATTTAAATATTTAAAAAAACGATTAGTTAGTATATTTTTCTATTTTTTAACCAATTATTTTACATCTAAATAACTGCATCATTTACTGTGAGTATGCCTTGAATGGGTATAGTCTTACCTCAGAAAAGTTCAACATAATTAATACTAGTGAGTAGTGACCTATTTTGGAGGTAAGGTTTTAATTAAAAGGTTTGAAAGACCCGCCACAGTATTGTTACTGGGTCACTATTTCCTTTTAGGTTTATTTTTATATTAGGTACAGTGTATACTGAAAGTAAAATATATTATATTATATAAATAATAATTATACTACTTTTTAAAATTGTTAAAAGAAATTTGGTATGTGTGTGTATGCATGTTTGTTACTCCTTTGTGCTGAAACGGCTGGATGGATTTGGATGAAAAGGACATAGATAGATCTATAGATCATAGACTTAGAGTAACACATGATAATAAATTATGATATATTATGCCTGTATATAATATTACGGATACCAAAGGCTTTCAGGGACGTACCCGAGCGAAGTGATGGTAAGTTTGTTACTTAACGATATAATTATATTCCTCATCTATTTAACTTAAATAAGTAATTTAATACTTTTTAATCAAAAAAATATTTTATATCTATATTACAAATTTTATTATTTATCGTAAGTATTCAATTTTCATGCAACATTCAACGATAAAATCTTTGAGTTTTTGTTTTGTTAAAATTAAAGTCAGGCATAATATTAACGGTTTCTATGAAAACTTTTGTGGCTATACTTTTATCGTGTTAAGTTTTAGTATGTATTCAGCCCTTCTTAAGGTCCCACTGCTGGTCACGGGCCTCCCTTCAATGCGAGGGGGATCAGATCTTAGTCCACCACTCTGGCCAAGTGCGGGTTGGCGGACTTCATATGTCTTTCGATAACTTGTTAGGTTATCTCAGACATACAGATTTCCTCACGACGTTTTCCTTCACCGTAAGACAAGTGGTAATCATGTTGAAAATGATTCCCACATGAAAGTATCAGAGGTGCGAGACCCGGGATTTGAACCCGCTTTACTAGATTAACCAAGCGAGCGCGTCACCACTGGGCTACCAGTGTCTTAAATTTTAGTAAAATGTTAATAATATTAAATCACTGTGGATATGATAAATATATAATTGTGCACAGACGTACAAGTGGGACATCATATTTAATATACATAGTTATGTGCAATTTGGAAGAAAGCCAACGGACATTATTTCGTTGTAGTATAAACCATAATTGCATATCTAGTTAACTGTATGTTGAATGCTCCAACTTTCTTTATAACGTGTACTATTATAGAAAATTCTTCGCTCATAGCTCAGGGCTTAAGTGTTCTACTTTATATATATTTTAAATTTAATACTAACACTCTATACATTAGAGCTTTTAATCTTTCTGATGAAGTTTTTTTTAAATGTTGTTTTGTAGGTGATGCAAAATATATAAAACTAGCATTGCCCGCGGCTCCGCCCGCGTTCAGATGACCAAAAACCAAATTCTTAGGTTTTACATATTAGTATACTCTTACAATGCAGTTTTTGTATTTTTTCTCAGAAATGAGATATTTTCCCGCGGTAAAATGTAACCTATATGTTGACCCGAATAACTAGCTATCACCATACCAAATTTCATCAAAATCCCTCCAGTGGTTTTTTCGTGATGCGGTTACAGACAGACAGACAGACAGAAATTCTAAAAACTATAGATTCGGCCTCTGTATCGATAATAATGTATATTTCAATAAGATTTTCCAAAAAATATTTAATGTACAGATTCGGCTTAGTTACAATTTTATTATATGTATAGATGAGTTTATATATTCTTTATTGCATATTAACAGAGTAACACAGATAATACAGAGAACAATGTGGGCAAAGGTGGACTTATCTCTAGAAGAGATCTCTTCCAGCCAACCTAAGGAAGTGAGAAATAGTGTTATATGACGGGACTAAAAGTGTGCAATTGATTTAAGATAAAATTATAAATAATTATACAATTAAATAAGATAAAAAAAACACATATAATGATAAATATAAAAAAACTTACATATTATACATACTATATACACATATACATACATATATACATACATATATATATATATATATACATATTAAAGTATAAATATAATCGTATGCATTTGGAATACACAAAAATAGTAAATCAGATGATAAAATTAAGGACCAATTTGTGACAGAAGGTACTGTTTTAAATTTTTTTTAAAAGAAGTTATGGAGGGGCTTTTTTTGATGTATTTAGGGAGTTTGTTCCAGAGTAATGAGGCATATACTGAGAAAGAGTGCGAAAAAAAAAGTGTCTTACTCTTTGGTATGTCGAGCATTGACATGACGCAAGACCGTCTGGAACGTGAGGGGATAGGGAGAAGTTGGATACGAGAACGAAGGTAGGGAGGAGAATTTGGGTCGTTAAGAATATTGAAGAGGAAGGAAAGGATGTGCATATCACGGCGAAGTCGGATTGGGAGCCATTTAAGTTGAGCACGAAAGTTTGATACATGGTCATGCTTGCGCAAGCCAAAAATAAAGCGAATAGCTAGATTCTGGAGACGCTCTAGTTTGTTAAGTTGCTCCTCAGTCACATCCAAATAGCACACATCAGCGTAGTCAAGTATGGGGAGGAGAAGGGTTTGAGCAAGCATAATCTTGGTACTAAATGGGAGAAAGAATTGGAGACGCTTGAGAGAGTGGAAAGAGTGATGCATTCGTTTGCTGACCTCGTTGACATGAGCTACCCAGGTCATGTTACAATCCATTATTAGGCCCAAGTTTTTCACTCTATCACAATAAGGGATTGGAACACCAGAAAACTGGACTTGAGGTATTGAAGTCCAGTCAATTTTGCACCTCAGTCTACTACTGCCAAATATGATGCACTGTGATTTGCTGGGATTCACAAGAAGGCCGAAAGACTCAGCCCATAATTGGACTTCAGCAAGGTCCGAGTTTAATGCACCAATAGCGTCATGCAACTCGGTCAGCTCAAAGTGTCGGTATATCTGTGAATCATCTGCATACAGATGGAAGGGAGAAGAAATGACTTTTGAAATGTTATTAATGAAGATGGAAAAGAGCAAAGGGGAAAGTACGCCGCCTTGAGGGACACCAGCAGTAAGATCTAACCAATCCGATAATGTATCGTTGATTTTCACGCACTGCTGACGTCCGAAGAGATATACATATTTTGTGAAATTTAAACGGTTAATACCGTATCTTCATCGTGTATTCACCATTCTACACGACATTGGCGAAATAATCTGTGCAAAACTAGCACGCTTAAAAGCCACATAATAAAAAAAAATTAAGTATTTAGTAAAAAACAAACAGGTTTTTACAAATTAAAACCTTATATTCGTTTTTACAAAAAGCTTCCTTAACTACGCAAAATTATGGCGAAATTTGTGTAGGTGATAGAGATATTCAAATGAATAACGGGTTCGTATAGCGTATGTTTGTATTTCCCACAATTTAATGCTCATCAGTGACTTGTTCGTGATTGGGCGGTACCATAGTTACAGACTCATGTTTCTTCTCTAGGATTTACGAACTTGAAACTTAAAAAACATATTTAAAATTCAACCCAAGTCTTAAAGACTTTAAAGTTTGATCACTGGAAAAATATTTTTCAATATTTGTAACTTAGATTATCTTATAAATAATCTAAGCTTTGTAACCCGATTAATTTTTTATACGAAATTATCGTCAAGATACTCGTATTCGTATGTATCTTAGTATGTGTTTTTACTGGTTTTTTTTCGTTTTATTCTCTTCTAAGTTAATCACTAATTATTTTAGTTAAGATTTTAATAAACTAAGTTTCTTTAGGAGACTTATGTTTAGTATTCTTCTGACATATTATCCATCTAAAAATATTATAATATCCGGATTGAAATAATGGTATTAGCGGGCACAAAACGAGGGCACGTATGCAGTCGGCGTCACTCGGAAACAAATTGTTTATGCGATCGACATTTGTGATGTGGTCACTGTTGACTGTTTATGCTGTCGGTACTCTTTATACATTCTCGAAATAGCTGAGGACAATTTCTACTCTTACAAAGGCATTAAATTAGGCCATAAATTACATTAAAAATAACAGGTTTTGATTAAATCTCTTGCATTTGCTTTATTTAAGCGTTCCGTAGCCAAAAAAACTCAGTAAGAACCCCTATAATTTTGTCACAATCATTTTATTTTGAAACTATTGATATCATAAAAATGAAATTCAGTTAGATTTGATTCTTTACATTAGATTGATACGTAGATGAATTACTAAATATTTTACTTTGCTTTTAACTTCACATAATACGTTAACTATAGAATCTCACTTGAACGTGGACAGAAAATTTGGCGCCTGAGTAGTTTTGTCTGTTTTTTTAATTAAAAGTTTAAACTAGATTATTTTCCAGCTAACGTAATGATGAGATGATTATAGACAATAATCTAATAACAATAATAATGAAATATTTATTTTTAATAAAACTAAGTTTTATTTAAATAAATACAGTTCATATCATCATAACAATAATTACGAATATAAAACATGAATTTTAATATCACTCATGACACTACTTAACAGTAATGTTGATTTAAACGATGCGAAGAAGTACATAATATAAATATTAAATATATAATAACCCACGGCATAAGAACGTAACAATGTCTGAAACCTGTAACCCGTGATTGTGTAACGAGTGTGTAAAACTACTTGTTACATATGAAGTTGGTTGCGCATCTTCAGAAATCAGATTCAAAGATACGAGTCGTTCAGTGTTCAGTATCGCCGGCACTGAAAAGCACGGTTACCGGTTGCCCAGCCCTCAGCTATTTGCAGAACAATGCAGGCTTGATGTGCGCATGTCAGTGGGAAAACGCGGGAGGGAAAACGCGCGAACGAACTGTCAGTGTAGGCCCGCGAGTGGCAGAGGCCGCGCGCCATAGAAAGCCCACCCTGCGCCCTGGCGCAAAACGTACGCCGCGCTGGACGCGGCGTCACGTTCTCAGAATCGACCGTAGATAACACGGCTACCGTGACTGAGTTTCAGTGTCAAAAGGTTGGTGACCCAGTGCCAATTATGACCCATATACGGATCTGTTATGCCATTTCTTGTTGATCGTGAACCAATGTTGATTCGTAAAATCTCATCACCTAATGATGAGAGCCAATAATAATATTGATTAGTTAAATCATTGTTTTCTTTAATTCTAAGGTTTGCTTTTCTTTATTATTCATAGAAATAAGTGTAGTGTAGTGAGATATCGAATAAAATAAGAAATATATATATAAGATACGTATAAATAAGACCAATAAATGAGATGCCACACAGTATCCGCACATTGGTTTATTGGCTTACGTAGCCCAGTTCTCAAGATGACCTGATTTCGAGGAAGCTCCTGTAGTACGTTTATGAAAATTAAAGTTTACTACCTATTGTGAGGTCATATATTTTTAAAATATCCGTTGCCACCACGAGCAGAACTGGTATATGAAATCACCGTTAGATTAATAGAACTGACATAATTTCGTTTTAAATCTGAAATGAAATTTGGTACACATAAAGTAGTATACTGGATTATGCCAAGGGATATGTCATGTCCCAGAATTATAATAGGAACATTCGAATGCGTATTACGAGCAGATGAGATCATCGTTTCTATTGAACGAGTATAAGTGTCACTAGACCGTAGAAACACGCAAAAAATACCCTCCAAGATGATTTTCCTTCATTGCTTTGCTTATAACAGGAGTTTCAATGAAAATATTTACTATAGAGTTTTTTTTTATTTATACACGTGAGATAGTAATTTTAAATGAAGGCCATGGAGATTTTCATCGTTAAAAGCATTTAAAGTCATCCATCTCATCATTTTGTATGGGGCAAAGCAAGACAAAAGAAACTCTAGTATGGTATATTTCAATGCTGCCCATGGTAGCTTAACGTTAAAATTTAGCTTTTCTTTTGCAAGCTTTAACTTACAAAGAGAAATTTTAAATTCGAAAAAATAGAAATGTAAAACATCTGCGCGACAAGTTACATTTCATTTTCATTTTGCTTTATAGTTGCTGTAAACCGCCTACTATTAATTTAATTTGTACTACAGACTTTAAATTTCCAAAGCTAATAATACTAGATTGGAAAAGACATTTTATATTTTTATTATCTAATCATAAAAACGTAACGTTTAATTTCAACTCAACTTTGCGATTATATATTTTTTTTTCATTACAAAATTAGATACTTTTCAATGACTTCTTAGTGAATTTCTAATATATAATTTATAATATGTTATAGATTGAAAAAAAACAATTATCGGATAAAAATACGACAATAAGCTATTTATGGTGTATTTTTAACCAATTTCAAAAAAGGAGTCACTCTTAATTAGTGCGTATGTGCTTTCGTGCGTTACACGATATCCTCACTGTACGTCCGACTGTTATTATTAATGCATCTTGGCTCAGTCTAACTCGAGGATGGTTCTATATAATTTTCTAGATAGATAATGTCTAATCTTTAAAGTTATAAAATTATGTATATTTTTAAAAATTGTGCAAAAATTCATTAAGTTGTGTATAAATCCTACAATATGTATGTACATAAGCAACTGTAACGCAAAATTTTAAACCAAGATAAAATTCAGAGGATAAAAACTACAATGAATTTTAACGTTTTCATTTTAACATGATTTTTAGTTATTTTAGTTAAACATGTTCATTTAAGCATCATAAATATTATGTATTTTAATTTTAAAATTATATCACTAACTAGCATTGCCCGCGGCTCTGCCCACGTTCAGATGACCAAAAGCCAAATTCTTAGGTTTTACATATTAGTATACTCTTACATTGCAGTTTTTGTATTTTTTCTCAGAAATGAGACATTTTCCCGCGGTAAAAGTATCCTATATGAGGACACGGGTATCACCATACCAAATTCCATAAAATCCCTCCAGTGGTTTTTCTGTGATGCGGTAACAGACAGACAGACAGACAAAAATTCTATAAACTATAGATTCGGCCTCTGTATAAAAATATATCCAAAAAATATTTAATGTACAGATTCGGCTTAGTTACAATCTTATTATTTGTATAGATTTTGCTTCTGTACTTAAAATATAGGAAAACTTAATTTGTAGTACTCTAATAATATATTTAGTATCGAATAATGTAGTATATCATAAGCCTCAGTGGTTTTTAATATTATATTTACTTAAAAAAAATTGTAAAAGTTTTTATGATAATAAGGAAAAAATATACATATGTACATACATACACGTATAATGTTACATCACAATTACTTATTAAGTTCTTTGATCGATGCTCAAGTTAAGCGTAACTAGGATTAGCAAGTGGAAAATTAAAGGCGATAAACGATTTACGTCGCTCTACTAAGCAAAGCAAAGCATGGGTTCTATGGAGAAAATTACCGCCAGTGTTAATATGAATAACCAATAACTTTCACTTAGAAAGTAAAATTCTTTTTCGATTTTCCAATTGATTAGAGTAGTAGCGACGATAAAAGCGCTATATATATATATATATATATATATATATATATATCTAAGAAATGTTTGTAGATGTTTTAGTTTAAAGTTTATATTGAAGTAGTATTGCCCGCGGCTCCACCCGCGTTTAGATGACCAAAAAACAAATTCTTAGGTTTTACATATTAGTATACTCTTACATTCAAGTTTTTGTATTTATTCTCTTAAATGAGATATTTTCCCGCGGTAAAAAGTATCCTATATGTTGACCCGGATAACCAGCTAGCATCATACCAAATTTCATCAAAATCTGTCCAGTGGTTTTCTCGTGATGCGGTAACAGACAGACAGACAGACAGACAGACAGACCGACAGACAAAAATTCAAAAAACTCTATATTCGGCCTCTGTATCGATAATAATGTCTATTTCAATTAGATTTTCCAAAAAATATTTAATGTACAGATTCCACTTAGTTACAATTTTATTATATGTATAGATTACTAAATTATTTACTTTCATTTTTTGTCGTAACTGACTGGTTCATTAAAGCTTTTACGGCTAACCAAACCAATGGACTAAAACGCTGAAATTTTAATAGGCTATGAGAAAAAAAAAATCATTACGAACTTCTAGATAAGAAATGTCTATACAATATTTAATATTTTTTCTGAACAAATTTCAACGCTTTTAAAGTTTTTCAATAACAGTTGTTAGTTGGTGTATTCTAACAATATTACTGTTTTTGTTTAGAATAAAATATCCTTTTCACTGAGCAGACATTTTTCGTGAAAAATCCCTTTAGACACTATTGCGAATTCTTTTGTGATATAGGTCTTTTGTTAATATACTATAAAGATGCCATTGAATAAAATTAGATTCTGAATACATGAAATAACATAAGTATTTATACATTTCAGTAAGTCTTTACTAATACTATAATAAAGAGGATAGATTTTTTGTTTATTTTTTTTGTATTGGATAAGCTCCGAAACTAGTTGACCGATTTAGATGAAATTTGGTAAGAAGATAGTTTGAGACCCTGGAAAGGCCATAGTATAGTTTTTATTTCAGAAATCATGCCTTGAGATGATGAAAATGGGGATGTAACTTCGTATGGGGAATTAACCTAGAAATGAACCCGAGCGAAGCGAGGGTGTGTCGCTAGTATTATATATTATGAATATATTATTTTGAAATATTTACACGATAAATTTTTGTATTAAAACTTTTAATTTACATATAAAAATATTTTTGGTAGCGTGTTAAAATTGAAGTATTAATGTAACGAGGGTAAAATTAAAATATTACGACCTCGACCGTGAAGTAAAAGCAAAAGGGACATAATGAAGAAGTTCTGACGGTAAGCAACAGGCAGTTTTAAAAACCAGCCATCAAAGTCTATATGTAGGTGTCGGGTTTAGTTCCGATTCCTGCCAAGAGATGGCGCTACTAGTAGGTTGCCTCATTTCTGAATCACGCTGGCAAGATGTTTTCTTTAAAATACATATGTCTGTTGTAAATTTTATAAAATTGTCTTTAATACAGTGTTCGATACTCAAGTGGTGTTTCAATTAGAGTGATCAAGTAGTCGGCAAGTATTTAGGTATTCCAGTAGGAATGTTTACATTACTGGGAAATTACACCGAAACATGCTTTTAACATCAGTTCCGCTGAGTTAAACAGTCTTAATTGAACATAAACACAATCAGTTTAATTTTTATAAGAGTTCAAATTTTAAAAAATATTTTTAGGTTTAAAATTGGTTATTTTGCTTCTAATGAACATTGTAAAAATAGCTCTTTATGGGTATAGCGTAGCACGCGATCGATTTTGAGAAGGGTAACTCCGTGTTTAGGGCGTATTAACTACCTGTGTATATAAAATTAAACCCTTTATAATTTAAGAAAATAATATTTACAACAAATATTGTAAGGTTGAAATGAGGATAATATTGAAATATTGACATCCATACTAATATTATAAATGTGAAAGTGTGTGTGTGTGTGTGTGTGTGTGTGTTTGTTTGTTTGTTTGTTTGTTTGTTTGTTTGTTTGTTTGTTTGTTTGTTTGTTTGTTTGTTTGTTTGTTTGTCTGTCTTTCACGTCGAAACGGAGTGACGGATTGGCGTGATTTTTTGTATGGAGATAGTTGGAGGGCTGGAGAGTGACATAGGCTACTTTTTACCACGGGAGGTTATCTAATTCCTACGGGAAAACACGTTATAATACAATTAGAAAAATATGTATGATCAAAATTACTTGAAACTTGGTATTAATACTTTTCGATACAATTAAATGTATACGATTTTAGCATTGTGCGAAATTCACCTCATAAGGGGGTAAAATAGGGGATGAAAGTTTGTATGGAACCTACCTTTTAAGAGATTTTATGTCGTTGTAGCGCGAGCGAAGCCGCGAGTTCTGCTAGTTCACATATAAATTAAAGCTTACGTTTCATACATAAAAGTATCGCGACAGTAAAAATTAACACAGTGAAGTAGAATTTTGCCCTTGTTCTTTAATAATTTTAC